AATAAATCAATTAACATATTCAACTTTTATTATACAAAAAAAAGTTTTTATTATACAAAAAATAGTTTCCTGCATAAAAAATAGGGTATTTATGTTACTATAATTCTGTGGCTTGCCATCTTTCATTTAATTCCTCTGTGGGCGTCACCTGTCCAATAAAGCGTTGACAATTAACTTCTGTAATTTATTGCCTGACTGATAGACATTGACAGTAATTCAAGAATAGTGCGATCGATTTTATTACTTCGCCCTTCTAAATCGTATATAAAAATCTTGTTACAAAAATAGAGATTTCAAATATAGAGATTGGATTTTTATTCTCCATTCCATGTTTGTTTGTACTTAAAATACGTTTTTGTATTTTTTGGTACTATTTATTGAATATACAAAAATAAAAGTTGTTACATATGTATAGTTGAAAATGGTGTTATATTGATACATAATATTATATTTACTTTAATTTGAACTCGAAGTCTTTGATTAAGTAGAGTATTGGTTTATATTATTGCATTCCCGTGGAATTTTTAGAGCATATAACTGTTTATTTAAATTACTACAATAAACGAAAGAAAAATCTCAGTAATCAAAATTACAGATTCAGTTGTTGCTGTTATTAATAAATACAGAGTAACAAGATATTCTTCGTACCCTGATAGAATTGTGATACTATTCAGTCACACTACACATCTCGTCATCTCTATTGATTTAAAATTTAACTCCGTGAATTTTCGTTCGAGTGTTAAAAAGAGCGATTGAAATATGTCAATCATCGTCATCATAATTAAACAAAATACTGTATAATTCGAAAAGGATGAATATGATATCGAATTGAAAACATAATTTTTATATTTTATTATTAATGTACTAACATAGGTTTTGGGACTGAAGACAGCACTTTAAAATTTACTATTAAGAAATGTTATTCGGAGTGTCATATCATTAGTTTTTTATTTACTCTGTATATACAGGGACCTGGATCATGAAGTTGAGCGGATTATAAAAAAATCATATTAAAAAAGTACAAAGCTCAGGAAAGAATAAATATATTTATGATGAAAAATATAAATGGGAATTTTATTGTTTAACGCTTTTCTTTCTTCTTTAACCTGTTAATTTTAAATATTCTTTGGAAACAGTTCAGGTAGTTAGATAACATTGTAACGCTTAAACTGCAATTTTAAATTAAATTAATTCTGAATCTATTAAGTAAACAAATCTTTATGGTGACAAGATTTGTTAAAATCATCCACATACATACATATATACTGTAGATACATTCCCTATGTACATATGTACATAAATATGTATGTGCATAATACTTTTTACATGTGAAATGACGTGAAATATATCCACAACAAGAAAACAGAGACATTTCGTCAAACAAGATAAATAATACGTTTTCTCGGTATACCCTGTTTTAATATTGTATTTGTAATTATGCAATGCGAAGCTTTGGAAAAGACTTACAATAAAAACTTATTTTATATTCATACTAAATAAAGACAGACTAGAATAAAAAAGTAGCTAATTATTTCCGCCTTTTAAAAAAAAAAACTAGAGCCTTTGTTTCCAATTAAGCACGCGACCGACCTGCTCTAACAAAAACGGAATAGACGACCACGGTAAAGTGTGTATCCGGCACTAATTAAACACACTAATGGTTGAATTAATTTGTTTGGACAGTAAAGACACTTATACTAAACCTCATCCTATTATGAGGAAACAAATTGCGAATTTGAATGCGGAAATTTAATTATAAATGCCAACAGGGTCAGCGGGGGGTCATAAAGAACAAGTGTCTCGAGCCACCTTGTTAATAATACATAAGCATCGTGTAGTAGAATGTCCTCAAAGTTAATGTAAAATATAATTTTATTATATTTATGTATTACTATTATATTTTGTAGTTTTGTATCCTTCACTAAATTGTTTAATTATCCTCGTCATATAACTTCATATAGTTTGATTTCATGATTTTAACATGAAACCGCTTATGATGTGCAATATTCTAGTTTGAACTAGGAAAATAGATATGATTACAAGGTAACACAATATTATATAACCTTTAACATATCATCTGTTAGATACAAGATCTCTCATGAAGACTTCACAAAGCTGACTAAGTCAATTTAGCCGAGCTTTACAATTTACTATGAACACACGATGTTTCATCAATGTATGGAGATAGCTGTTATGTATGGATGATAATTTAGGAACCTCACAAAGGCCTTGCAAATACTTCATAACATAAAATATCCGACTTAAAATGTTTTAATAAATAAATTATAAGACGAAACACCACACACAAAAATAAAATCGTAATTTAATTAGAGTATTAACTTTACTTAGAGTTTAAAATATATGTAAGAGATAAAAAAAAATCAACCTTTTACTCATACTCATATGTACATATTTCTTTTCTATTGTTTTTTTTTTTTAACAATGATTGGCCATGTTTATATAATTTAATAACTCTAATTAATAATAATCTAATTAATTATTTTTATTGGATTATATTTAATAATAATATTGTTATTCACTATAATTTAGTATAACTGTTATAACTAACAGTATTAATACTGGTCGAAACTTGACTACTTTGGATCATATTTAACTGACTTGTGACCTAGCCGCCTGAAATCCTTTATCAGCGCGCCACACTCCAGCATCTTCTTTGAATTTTCATTAACTTACCAATTTACTGCATTATTATTAACTTATATGAAAATTTAGGTACTTTATATTAAAGCCTTATACGAACTTATTTCTGCCATTAAAATAGAATAGTTATTCTATCCAAAAGTAGAACACAGGAACTATAGCCTATATAGAATATATATATTTTTTATGTAAATATTTTATTAATGTATTAGAATTTGTAGCCTCTGGTTTTTCGTAAGCGGGAAATAATCAAAATGAAACGAAAACCATTGGGACAACACCGTGGTAAGTATAAAATATCATATAACGAGTGACGTTGCTGACTCGTTAAAACGAACACCTGTCCGTATGAACTACAAAATTCCTAATATCACACATAAAATAGGATGCGATTGCTATTTTACCATTGAGACAATTATATAGTCTTAGGTAAAAGTTATAAGTTTTAATTAATATATATAGGTGCTTCAATAAGTTTCGTAATTTTCCTGCAACTTCTGGCTCACACTGAAACCCACTCTATATAATTAAAGTGAAAATGTTAGTATTATGACTTATTTGTCATTGATTTGCTCTTTGGTAGGAATAGTCATTTATTTAGTCTTTTACGAAGGGTTCATATACGTTAAATAAATGGTAATAAGATAATAGTCTTCACTTTAATATTTTGCATTCATTGAAGTGTTGTTGATTATAGAGTTCATAAGAGAGCAAACATTGAAACTATTAAATACTATGTAATATAGAATAAGGAGCTTATATCTCGTCATTGTATCACTAATTACTGAAATTAAAGAATAAAATTTATTTATTAATATAAATAATTAGATCTTTATTTGAATAGATCTCTTACAAAAATAGTAAAAACTAAACGAGAGACAATTATAACCTTATATAATGAAAATGTGATAAGGTTTCTATTTGATTATTTCAATTTTCACATTGAAATCACACTACTTCTAAGTTCGAATAATTTTCTGAAATGCGAAATCTATTTCATACGAGAATAAAATACATTTGCTTGAAATGTAAGCTGTGCAATAGGGAATATTAAATTTGTTCATATAATTTACCGACTTTGTTAGTTAATTTTTAAATAACTCTATGTGAACTTATAATTGGAGTACGTATTTATCTTTTCTGATCAAGTTAGCTTACTAGATGTTAGAATATTCCGATTGGATTTTATTTTTCTTACTAAAGCCAATAATTCCTCCACAGACACTATCGGAGAAAAAAGGCTTAAAGTTCTTTTATATTCTCCGACGCAATTCAGAGGTTTTTTTTCAAGTTGCATAAAGTAGAACCCAGCTGTTAAAACAGATACCGTTTGAAAAATTTTATTAAACAGCTTTAATTACTATTATTTTAGAGATATTGATAGTATAAATAACATTAACATGCAATGCACACATTTGGCAATTTGCTCTGAAGATAATTTAGGTAAGGTGAGCGACCAAGTAGCACATTAGCCACGAATAATTAGGCACCTTGATACATTAGCGAACAGAAGCCGATTGCTATTAAAGTGGGTAAGGAATGGTCACTGTGACTAATAGTATTAATTCATTAATGTGTTAAATAATTTTTTCTTATTATCAATTTTCACCCACGTTAATGGCCATCTTAATTCTTTTGAAATTATTATATGAAATGTGAAATTATCTGAAAGCAGAAAGAAAAAAGATACGTTGTTGCTGTTATTATTTAATTAGTTTACCTCACTAAATATTCACATTTATCCAAACACGTTCGAATTTCTTAACTACGTTTTGAAATGTGAATAAAACTTTAAGTTAATACAAGTGGAACAATGCGGCAACTTCGTCAATACAGTAACTCCGTCAAAAGTTATGTTATTTTTAAATTAAGATGAAGTTGGTAGGTATTTAAATTAAGTAAGATTACTTACTTAATTTCTTAGTCTAAAAGCCCTTTTACTCCTACGTTTCAGATGGTTGCCTCGAGCGTAAGGTTGGAGACAACAGTAGATAGGGCATCCCCTTGCCTTACTCCTGAGTTTATTTCGAATGGGTCCGATATCTCATTTTGTATAGCTTCTACCGATTTGGAGTTACACATAGTAGCCTCAACCAGGCGTATCAGTTTACTTGGGATTCGTAGCAACCTCATGACATTAAAGAACTTATGTCTGTTCACGCTATCGAAGGCCTGCTTGAAATCTATGAACGTATGATGTAGATCTATATCATATTCATAAGTTTTTTCAAGAGTCTGGTTGATGAGATGGATTTGATCAGTCGTAGACCGATTCGGTTTAAAAACACCCTCACACTCCCCCAGTATTTCTTCAGCATACCTTCTGATTTCCAAGTATATCACCCCAAAAACATCTTGTACGCCGCGGACAGAACTGAGATGCCTCGGTAATTACTGCAGACTGTCTTGTCCCCTTTCTTGTGGGTCGGTATAACTATTCCTAAACACCAGTCTTGCGGGAGGGTTTCTTCAAGCCAGATTTGCGTGATTAGGTGATGCAGTCGCTCTATTAGTTCAGGGCCCGCAGTCTTCACCATTTCGGCGGCTATCGTGTCCAGACCCGATGCTTTGTAGTTTTTAAGGTATTTAATGCATTTTTCGAGGTCCGTAACGGTTGGTGGGTTTATTTCCTGCTCCACGTCTGCAACTTCACGACCCACATTAAGAAGATTGTCGAAATATACCTAAACACTAAATAAATTTAGTAAAATTAGATCGACCAAAAATATTTATTGTAAATGAAATTGCAATTAATTTAATTTTAAAAACTGCAGATCTCCATATTTTTTATCTTTTTCTTCCTTCTAGTGAATATTGCAAAGTAACATTATCTACATACTCTTCACACTAAATTAAAACCGAAAATGAGAACAATTACTACGTTTATTTATTATTTTTATAAATGTATCCTCCAGCTTAACTCTAAACTCCAAGAAGTTTCTTCCAAAGTTGGCATCGACAATGTTACCCTCTAAAACACACTGTATATTAAACAGTTTATACCGAACCAACCAGAGACAAGATAAATGGCAGGTGCTGACTATATAATAAACAAGTCCGCCTGTGACACCACTCCTTTGAAACTAACTCGGACCGAGTATACATGCATAATTAAGTGTCATTGGTGAAATTTGCAATTTGGACATCGCCGATAGAATATAGTGCAGCTTAAAATGTCCCGATGTCAGTTCTTTCATGAATTACTATTTAAATTTATTCCTATAATAGTCGATTTTTTAATAAAAAATATTAAATACTATAAGTCTTATTTTTATTGATGATTAAGTTTCAGTTCTTTTCATAGTTTTTATAAAGATTTTTTTCTCTCTCTCCTACTTTAAATATATTTTCTTATGTCAGAGTTTTACGAGAAAAGTTACAGGGTAATTTTCACCCTTTTCAATCCTAATTCCAGACAAAGATTATGTTTTAAAACTTTTTAAAAAGAATTGACTAACATGTCTTAATCAAGACGGTGGATTAGCCATAAATTTATTGGCAGTTTGATCCCGAGTAAAATATTTAAAAATAAAGCATAAAATATTTAGTAAAATAAATTGGGAGATAATAATGCATTAATCTGTACATGCTCTCCAGATAAAAAAGCGTTTATTTGTATGGGTGTATATCAAATACTTCTGAAATCTTTATGTGCGAAACTGTTCAAAAACTACAATGATAAGTGTATGTTCAAATGTACATATATGTGTATTTACGTATATACATATTGATATATGTAATATGTATATTTAATATGTATGAAGTTTGATATACACTTCTGTGATTTAGTGATTCAGAAAATGTAGTAAAATTAATGAGTCTTAAGGAACACAATGATTTTTAAAAATACATAAGAGTAAAGGCTTTTCAAAATCTTTTAAAAACATTTTTTTTTATTGTTTTAGAATTTAAACTACAAAAATATTACATTGCCGGCCTAATACCGTTGAAAGGTAAAGTATCACATTACAGTGAGTGACGTTGCTGACTTCATGAAACCAATAGCTATCCGTGTGAATAAGAAAATTCCTAATGCCACACAGGAAATTGTCCTCGTGAAATAAATTATTTTTTAAAGGGGATTTTACTTTTCGAGATTGGGTTTTGTGATATAATTTAATAAATAACTTACAAATATCAAGTATTATAATATTATTCTCATAAAAATAGTTGTCCTAATTGAAATGTATAAGGTTTACACACCTACGTTTTAATGGCCCTTTTTCTAAGCCTTTTAGCAATGATCTGGTCTGATTGTTCGGATTTTAGATTTCTGTTGGATTGTGCTACATGAGTTCGCTGCTTTGTGTAAAAAAAGGAATTTTGTTTTTTATATCATATGTTAATTTTATTTATATTATTTTAGAAAACTACACATTATTTGTCAAAGTTTATGAAGGCAAAGCAATTTGTAACATCGAACCAATGTTGAGTAATACATAGTTGCTGTAGCAAAAGTAAATGAAATCTGGTGTTACAGTCGCAGGTTCCTATTTGGATTTGTTGTATGATTATTTTAATTTTAGATTTTCTATTTCAATTGTTGTTCATAAAGAATTATTATAATATTTGGTGTAGCTTTCGTTTCTGAACTCTTTTGGGGCATACATTAAGTAGTAATTATATTCATATGAAAAATTTCTGACTGTTCATTCCAGATGATGGCAATCACAGTACCCATTTAAATTATCAGATGTCTCATATTAAATAAGTATTGAATGATTACTGAAAGAAGTTTAAGGGCAATTTTTAAGTAATATACATTTTTGTTAAGATAGATTGTATATATAGATAGATAGATTATTATCATTGTTAAAATCGAAACTGGGTCATTGTTTTGTCATTTAATTGTGCGTGCTCACCGGGCGGTAGATAGCATTAGCTAATTATATTGGTTTACATGAATGGAAGGTTCTTGACATAGATTATACTAAATATATTAAGCTATTTATTTCGGTGCTGTTAAAATTCTATGTTGGTCTAGAAAATTTAAGGTATACCAATCGTCACTTTTCAAAATTTGATATAGTTTAAGCGGAGTAAGAAACCCTTAAACAAGTATCAGATATTAACGAGAACGAAAACTAAACACCCATTATGACCTACATACATATAGTTTCTCGAAACAGCTGCTTCAGTTACTTTATTCAAATATACTACTTACGTGATAATTAATTTCTAGGAATATCTAAAAGAAAATAATTTTTTTTTCAAGAAAGATGAAAATTTTTACTTAAAATACTTTAGTTATATTGGCAAATTCAAACAAAAAATATATTTTCTTAGTTTGCCTTGTTATTGCACAATTACAAGAAATTAAGAAGTCCATAAACAAGTATATGTTTTTGTATATTTCTTATGGTCTGCTGTTTATGGACTATGGTAAATGTATGTTTGTATTATGGGCTGTTAAGAATTTGAACTATGACAGCACTTTCACTATATTTTTCCTTTTCAATTGTTTGTATCATAAAAGGTTAATTGCCTATCCATTTGAACCAGTAATAAAGAAATATTCTCATCGTTTTAAACATTTTATACCCAAATTTTTAGGGAAGATAATTTTTACATTTTCTTAGATTCTAGACATTTTAATTTCATCCTTATACTATAAAATACAAATAAAATTAATGTAAAAAATATTAACGATTGCGCATAAATGAAAAAGAGAGATATAAAAATAAATAAATTAGAAAATAATAATTCTAATCTAATAAATCTAATAATAATATCTTACAAATTCAATAAGAAATACTGTCATTTCAAATTATTTCTAAACTATTATAAGAAGAATACATTACCTGGAGACGTTGTTTGAAAAGTGATTGAGAATTTTTAGGTGGTAGAGCCTAGCTGTGGTTAGTTACTACAGCTCGAACACGGGCTGGCTCGACCGGGGAAGTACCACCCTCTCACAGAAGATCGGCGTGAAGTAGCCTTTAATGGCTGCGTTTCGTCCGATGAGTTGAAGAGCCGGTTGCCCTTTCCCTATTCCCACACTTTCCTACAATATCCTTGTTCCCACCCCTCACTATCCCTATAAAACAAGGTTGGCAAGGCATCCGCAACAAAGATGTTGCGGATGTCAATGGGCGATGGTAACCACCTTCCATCAAGTGGGCCGTCTGCTCGTTTGCCACCTTTCACATAAAAAAATAAATTTAAATACGTGATAGGCTGGTTACAGACGAGAAACACTTGCTTTAAATCAAGAACCAGCTTGCTTAATGCAATGCATATGGGATAGTATATTTGGGAGAGTAATTAATGTTATATCAACGAATATAAAATAATATGAAGGAGAAATTCTTGAAAAAATCAATAAAGAAATACTTACATTCTCAGAAATTATTTGTGCCTGTTTCATCATATCTCTAATATTATTTCCTATACCCCTAATATTATATCAAATCAACGTGTATGAAATTTGATTTCTATTGGATTATTTCATTACATGTAAAACGTTTGTTATTGGAGAATAAAACACACTTGAATTTGTAATTTATTGAATGGAATAGGGTAACACCTTTACTGATGTAAATTGAGTAATGAAGGATGATAAACGCTTTTACAGAATTCATGGAATTCACTAATTAGTTATAGTTAAATTTTATTATTATTTACCACAACGACTGTACTTTGATTGCTTTATTATACATCTTTTTTATACGGAGTAAACTAATTAGCTTAGTATTTATCGATTTGATTCAACCCAGTACACCAGGTGTTAGAATATTCTAATTAGATGTCGGGCTTCTAACTTGAACAAATAATTTTAACTCAGACAATATCCTGGACAAGATAGCTTTACGTTCATTTACAGGCTTGGAAAATTTCTAGATAATTATTTTTACAATTTACATAAATAAAAGGAGAGCGACTCAAACCAAAAACCTGTGTAAATATATATTTTTATTTAAACGCTTTTTCAGTATTGTTGTAGATATACTCGTATATAGGTAACATTAACATGCATTCCACACATTTGGCGATTAGCCTGAACGTAATTAAGGTAAGGTCGGAGAGCAAGTAACACATTAGCCACGAATAATTAGGTACCTTCATACATTAACGAACAGGAGTCGATTGCGATTAAAGTGGGTCAGGAGTGGTCATAGTCATTAATAATATAATTGAAATTACTAATTTGTGTTTTGTTACAATATTATTGTGACTTTTGTGTTGTATGAGGATGGAGTTCAAGATTAAACAATAATTAATTATAACAAGAGACGTTGTTATTATTAAAGAAGCTTACCTCACTGAATATTCATGTTTATCCAAACACGCTCAAACTTCTTAACTACGTTTTGAAATATGAATAAAACTTTAAGTTAATACAAGTGGAACAATGCGGTAACTTCGTCAATGCAGTAACTCTGTCAAATGAGGATTTGGATTCAACAATAACAAAGTTATGATATTATTACATTGAGATGAAGCTAGTGTTTAATGTTTTTTATAATGACGTTAATATTACTTCTTTTTATTAATCTTAATATGTAATTGTAATATCTATAGTGAGTTAAAAATTCATTAAGTATGTTATTATGAAAAGGTAACTATTAGGTTTTACTTTAAATTCTTGTACAAAGATAACTTATCGTCTTTTATAAATTCTTCCAAATTTATTAAAACATTTCATTTTGTCCGATACAATTGAAATTTCTTTGTTTTACTAACTTTTGGTATTGTATTTGCTATGATAATGCCTGTTCATCGTGTAAATAAATTACCATTGTAACAGTAAGTAAGTCGAGTAAGGTAGAAGTACAGACTTCAAAAAATTTCAAGCATTATTATGTTTGTCTAGGAAATATTTTAAATTTGCATGAATAATTTGAATGTATAAATAATTTGAACTTTATTTTAATACAATATATTAATTGAGAATACATTCTTGTAGGTCAAAGTTATTTCTGATTTTTGGGTCTTCAAGGTTACCGAAGGACTGATAACAGATGTTATCACGGATACACATATACCCCGGTAGGCTGAAAAAAGCTGTACTAGAGAGTGTAACCTGTCTAGGTAAGATATGACGCGTTGGTAGGACATAGAACAAGAAAGTGTGGCTTACTAGTTTATAGGCGGTGGTGGATAGGTAAA